GGGGAGCGCTGAGACGAGCGCTGAGACCCTCTCTCCGACAGTACGAGGAGAGCTGAGACCCTCTCTCCGATGGAACAGAGCGTCAACAGGTAAAACCGTCAAGCGCCGATAGCGGGGGCTACTCGGCGGGCGGGGGCTGACAGGTTAAACTGCTCAACGTTGGTAGCGGGGGCTACGCAACAGGCAGCGGGGGCTGCAGGGCCGGATAGCGGGGGCTATCGGGCAACCTTGGGCGGACGCGTCGCAAGGGTCGAGGAACTCGTAAAGAGAGTTCCCGGTGCCGTAAAGAGGCAGGTTTTGGGGGCGCCGTAAAGGGGCGCGGGGACTAAGCTGTCCCTGTACAAAAAAAATAAAATAAAAAAAAATAAAAAGAAACTCTTGAAATTCCGGTTAACATGGGTAACACGGCTACTCAGCCACTGTCAGTCGCCTTAAGCGACTTACTGAGAGAAAAGGGATTACAAATGAAACGAGAACAAATTCAAAACTTCCTCGATCAGGTCGATAAGGTAGCAGCTTGGTTTGGTCCCACAGGGTCCATTACCATCCCCAGCTGGGATAAATTAGGGAGAGATCTTGACTTTGCAGCAGAAAATGGTCTCCTGGAGCCAGGAGTGAGACCCCTTTGGGCAGTGGTGAGAAGCTGCCTTGCAGACACCTCTTGTCGTGACCATATAAGGGCTGGCGCCATGGCGCTTGATTACCGCGAGCAATCTCGTGAGTCCAGTGCCGCAGGCGAGGTGACCCCACCCAACTCAGAAACAAAGGACTCGTCAGATAATGAGGGGGAGGAAGAAGTATACAAAATGGTGGATGCAGACACTACCAAAAGAGGGGAAGTCACACACACGCAGTCGAGAGGGCCTTACTCTGAGGCCATAAATGAGCTGCAACGCAGGATTTCTCAGAGTAAATGGGTCAATGAAAGTGAGTACGGGATCCCAGGGCCACCCCGTATAAGACCTACGGCTCTACCTCCCGACCCGCCAGATTATCATGCTCACCAGAGACCCTGCCATCAGCTATGTAGCTGTCCACAATGGGTCCAGACGTCCCCTGGGACATTCCAGGAAGACCTTTGGCATCAAGTCAAAAGAGAGGACCCAGGAGGCCTGGGCCGTTTTCTCCAGGCTTTCCCGGTTGCTGTAGATGCTCAGGGAAACAGAGCCCACCTGCCTATAGATATGAAGGCGATAAAGCATCTTAAGGAGGCCAGCACCATGTACGGTGTTAACGGGGCGTATATCCTGTCCCTAGTAGAAGCCCTGGCAGGAAATGCCATGACACCTGCTGATTGGGCCAGTTTGTGCAAGGCAGTGCTCAGCCCAGGCCAATATCTTGATTGGAAAGCTTGGAATGTTGAACTTGCCACAGAACAGGCCCAAGCTAATGCCCAGAACAATCAGGCCGCCTGGAACGCGGATATGTTATTAGGACAAGGGCAGTATCTCAATAACCAGCTGATATTTCCACAAGAGGTGTATGCACAGATAAATAGAATAGCCATACAAGCATGGAAACGGGTCTTGGCTAGGGGAGAAGTCTCAGGCCGCTTGACAAAAATTTTGCAGGGCCCGAGCAAGCCTTTTTCAGATTTTGTGGCCCGCATGATGGAGGCTGCAGGGAGAGTTTTTGGAGATGCAGAGACAGCCATGCCGCTCATTAAGCAGCTCACAGCTGCTCTGGGTCAGCACCAGGTGTAGTTCGTTAACTTGGCAGGAGTCGGGGCTTGTTGACGGCCCTACCACAAGACAAAGCAAAAGCCACATCCAAACTTATTCAAGAGCAATTAAAGTTAGGCCATATCAAACCCTCAAGTCTATTCTGTTTAAACAAAAGGAGGGTATTGCCCAGGGCATGACACCTAGGGCCAGACTAAATCTCGCCCTCTTCACTTACAATTTTGTAAACATCAACCCACAAGGATCCACGCCAGCACAGCTACATGCCAACCCTGTCGCACCCAAACATGGTTGGGTACGCTGGAAAGACCTCCTGCATGGGGTGTGGAGAGGCCCCAGCCCAGTACTTAGTTGGGCGAGAGGGGCGGTCTGTATCTTCCCGCAGGAAGAAGGCAGCAAACCTGTCTGGGTCCCGGAACGCCTGATACGTCCCTGCAAACCACCAGACCCCGACCCAGAGGAAACGTCAACCACAGAACAGGGGAACCAACAGGAGCCTCACAAGCCAGACCAAGCAAGTACACCCACAACTCCCATTAACTATGGCACCTTGGCCAACTCCCCTGGTTAGTAGCCTCCTTTTCCCCTCCTTCTTGCATCTCGTATGGCCCTTGCAGCCAATGACTTTTCCAAATTGCTCCACCGCAACCTGTTATATGTTATAATGTTGGGATAACAGTACACTTTCAGCTGTTGTTATGCAGGTACTCCAGTTCGCACCGGTTCCAGTTATGGCAGACTCAGACGAGTTTCCTGTGATCCAGCTCGGGCCAACTCTCCAATTGGCTTTCATAAAGGAATGGGCAGGAACAGGGGCTCTGGCTACCATGACTACACTTGCCGCATTCGGCAGTCTACTTCTGCTCTGTCGGATTCGCAGACAAAGGAATAGGGACAAAGTATCAAACAAGCATTGCTGATCATGGAATCTGGTCAAAGCCCGGCAGCATGGCTCGCCATGCTGTGATGCAGGTGTGGAGCAAAGCATTGCAGGGGGTGTCGTCCTTGGCCAGGAGACACCCCGGTCCCCATGTCGGTGAGCATGCGGGTTGGGCTCATAAAACAATACTCCCGGCCCCTCCAAAAGAGCACCAACGAGTAGTGAGGCACTGTCATGACTGCAGCGTGACACCTCACGAGGGGCACCAACCTCTGGAGACCCTGCGTCAGTTATAAAGAAAGGGGGAGATGTTGGGCGCAGGCGCTCAACATACCATACCCCACCCGGGACTAAGGACCACGCCAGCTTCCGCAATGCGCTACGTCCCTCTTTAAATTAGCCAACCCGTGCGCACCCCGCGCTCTACTCCATACTCTGTGGCAACTCCTGATTGGCCACAGCTGGATATAGTAGCCAGAGCCTACATCCTATTCCCGCCCTGCTTCCTTGTGGCAGCCTGTGATTGGTCACGGCCGAATATATAAACCAGAGCCCGCGTAAATAAACTAGCAGTTAACTGTCGTCCACAAGAGCATCTCCTGTGTCCTGTTTCATTGGAGCTGCGCCGGTCACAGGGGCAGCCCTGGCTGCAGGAGCTGGCGACCTGGGGACCGACTGCGGCTCCTTCCTGAGCGCCATTTCAGAACAGAACAGAAGGAAACCCACCCTCAAGGAGAACCCGGCTTTCAAGGAATGTTAGGGGAGGCCCCCGCCCCAGCCTGGGGGTGGGCCAGCCCGCCAGGCGCTCCCCGCCCGTCCCCACCCGGGGCAGCCTCCCGCGCAGCGCAGGCCGAGCGCCCCTCTCGGGGCCGGAGCTCAGCAGCGCCCCGGCCCGCAAGAGGAGTCGCCCTGGGCGCCCCACTCCCGGCGCAGAGCGGAGTGGGCGGTGGAGGCGAGGAGAGCCGAGGTCAGCAGCACGATTTCCCGTCCTCCTCTCCTCGGATCCGCGGAGGAGGTCGGGGTAGGGACGGAGGTCGGAGCCGCCCTGCAGCCCGCGCTGCTGATGGAGGGTCTGGAGCGGCGTGGGGGGGGGAGCTGCGGCGGGGGGCGGGGCCTGAGCGTGATCGGGGGCGGAGATTGCGCACGGCAGAGGGGAGGGGCTTGCGTGAGGCTGAGGGGCGGGGCCTGCGCACGGCCGGGGGGCGGCGCTTGAGCGCCTCCAGCGAGCTGTGCGGCCACCAGGTGTCGCCCTTCTCCCTGCTTTCTCTGCCTCCGCTGTTTCCCGCCTTCCTCTCCTTCCCTTCCTTACTACTTCTTGCCTGGAGTTCTTGCTTCTGGGTCAGTCATACTCGTTTTAAATTTTGTGTCTCCTGCTTTTAAAGCTCCTTTTAAACGTTTCCCGTATCCTGCCCTCTCGCAGTCTGTCCTAGCTTATGTTCCCCTCTGCTCTCCCTGTTCTGTTCTGTTTGCTCTTCCTTGGCTTGCTTCTCCCCTTGTCTTGGTGCTGCTTCTCCACCTTTCAGACCCACAGTACCGAGTCCCTCCTCCCGGTCCCGCATCCCGCCCCACCGAGACCCGCTGACCCTCAGCGCTTAGCCTTCGTGCAGCTGTGAGGACCTACAGCCTGACCCCTCTGGTTTCTTCCCACTGACTCGTGCCTTCCACCCACCCCTCCATCCCTTCCCTTTGTCCCGGTCACAGACTGACTGCTAGTGGTGGTGTCCTACAGACCAGCGGCCGCGAACCTGGGGCACGCGTGCCACAGCGGGCACGCAGGCGCCTCTCTGTTGGCATCGCCCCAGCAGCTGCGCTCTGGGTGACTGAACGCTCAGGAGCAGCGCCGGAGTGGCAGGCCATCAGGAGTGACAGGCTGGCAGAGCACATTTCCGACCGTCCGTGGGAGCCTCAGGCGGGGGAAGGCTGCACCTCGGAACTGGGATAACAACAACGCAAAGTGGGGACACGCTTGGGTGAGGGGTCGCCGTATTCATGTGCACCAGGCAGCCCTGGATGGACTGCAGACCGGCTCCCTGCGGGAGGAGTTGTGAGACTGACCAAAGACGAAACCCATGGTGAGGAGCAGAGACCTGAAAGGACACAGCTGAAGGCATAAGAATGGAATGAAAGACGAATTTCAGTCTGGACTGTAGCACATTACACCTATGCCATGCAATGAACAGGGAATTGAAATGTTTTTTTATAAAAAAAAAAAAAAAACAACCATCCGAGAAATTTTCAGTGATGAACACAATACTCTTTGGTTGTCATGACGAGGTCACAGTTCCTGTCTCGATAACATTAAGGAAAGGCTGAGGTGCCTCCTCGGAAGCTGGCTTCCCGGCTGTGCTGATGTTTTTGAGAAAGCTCTCAGCATGTTTGTAAACTTGCTAGACACGCGGTGCGTCACTTTGGTTCCCAGTCAGATCTGGAAAGAAGCAGGTCTACAAAGAGGCAGGCATTATTTCACAGTTCTGTCCATGAAAGGCAGACGGTCAGTGTTCTCCGGGGACGAATTTCTGCCTCTTTGGGTGCAGAAGGAAGCTAAGGCAGCCCACGATGACAACTCGTGCTAACTCTTGCCGAGTTTGGCACTGGGAAGTCGGTGACTGCAGGGCCACCTGGACGCCTACGCATGGAACATCCTGAGCAAGGCTGGTGCTTGGCCCAGAAGTCCTCGGTGCCCCGCTAATAGATGCCAGCCCCTTTCCACCGCCCATCTGTGGTCGGAAAGAGGTGTGGGTGGCATGAAGGACACATGAGTCTGATGGTGCCACCAACGTAAACTGTGATCTTTGTGTACAATCCTGAACACCATGACCTTTTTAAGGTTGTAAAAGCAGCTAAGTGGCTTAAAATCTAAAATGAAAGAATGAAATGGAGCAGACTAGAAATTGTGTCAAAGGACAGAAAACACAGTTTTATAGCACTGTGCCTCGAGCGTCTCTGCCCCTGGGCGTACGCCTACCTCCAGACCCTCAGAATGATTCAGGAGCTGGCTTTATGTGGGCGGCTCCACCCCAGTTTGGTGATGGTGGGAACAGAAGTGAGGTGGGGAGGCCAGACGGAGCAGAGGGTGACACGTTACACGGGAGTCAGGGAATCAGGCCTGACTCAGCAAGAGGACCCTCATCCTCCAGGTGTGTCTTCAGTACGTCCCCGTGAAGTCACCTTGCCCTGGAGAAGTCCCTGTGCCAAGAGGGAGCCGGCTGTCTGCCGTGACAAGCTTTCCAAGCAGCTGCTACTCCTGTCTGACAGTGACTGTACCACAGAAGCAGCAGGCAGGCCTGCTGGGCAGGTCCACCCCGCCTGAGCACAGGTCACCGGTGGGCCACGCTGCACGGAGGGGCCCTGTGACCCAGGGTGTCACCTGCTCTGCCGTCATGCAGAGGAGACAGGGGGAGAGAGACAGAGGCCCTGAGCCCGGAGCTCACTGTCCCCTGCTGTCACCAGTGCTGCACTTGGGAGATGCTGAGGAGCCTTGGCCAGAGGTCCCTGCCGCAGCCAGACCAAAAACCCCGGGGCCAGTGCAGCAGAGACACTGTGCTGAGAAGCAGGGTGTGAGCACAGAGCTCCCGGAGCCTCACTTGCCAGCAGGTCCCTGGGCCCGGTCCCTCTACCTCAGTGAGCAGTGGTGGCGGGACCGGCTTCTGTCCCCTGCCTGTGGCTGACTGTGTATGGCGGAGGGGTGGAAATCACCCCAAGCACAGGCCTCCCCTGATGGCTCAGTCCTGTTTAGGTGTGAGAGTGCTGGTCCCTTGCTGGACTGGGCCCTGCCCCTCATCTGCCAGGAAGGAGGCTGACTTTCTGCCCTGTGCTGCTTCACTGAAATCAGAAGGGACATTTCAAATAGTGTATTTTAAAATCTTGCATTAACTTCCATTTGATTAGGCCAAAATCAAGGGGAGACTCTTCTGTTGGATTTTATTTTGTGCTAGCACAAATGTATTTTTTTTCTTTTTATCAGTGCCAGGGATCGAACTCAGGACGGCCTGCTTGCAAGGCAGGCGTTTATGCCTCTGAGCTAACTCCCCAGCCCACAAATGTATTTTTAAAACTTTAACCACTTAGCCATCAGCTATATAAACGTTAGCCTGGGTATAAGATGAAACCTTATGTGATTAGTCAAATCTCCACCCAGAGCCATCTGTTTCCTGAAGATAACTGTTTTATTTAGAAGTTGTTAAAGAAAGAAGTTGTTTTAGTCTTTCAGTCTAAGATGTGAAGGAAAACGCGTTTATGCTTTGAGCTTTCTTCAGCCTGGAGCAACTTATTTTACACATACTTGTCCACCGTCCCTTTTTGCACTTAACGTACTCTCCAGATGACACCACACGGTGCTCCCTGCGCACGGCTGGGGTTGTGGGGCATCTCTTCAGGGGTGAGCCCCGGTAAGGGCCACCTGAGCTGCTTACAGTCTCGTCCCAGCTCACAGCGCTGCACTGACTACCTTTCGGCTCATGCCCTCTCCTGAGAACTCTACTTTCACTGTATAGCGATCGCAAGTGGGATTACTGGGTCAAATACACGTGTAACCTTCGGGGTGCACGGCCCTCCTTGCCAGCCTTCCTGGCTGCAGGCCGCTGCCCCTCCTGCAGGGAAGGTGCCCTTGACCTCAGCTCACCGCCTCCCTAAGGACACCGTGGAGTTACAAGGCCTCGGGATCCTCTGGTCACCCTGAAGGAGAAATCTGTCTGCTGTAAGCGATGTCTGCCCAGGGGATGACCACAGTCCTTTCTGCCCTCTGGGGGCTCCCACCTCCGGCTCCCCGCTCCCTCCTGGCTGTCCAGGCTCTGCACAGCCCTCCTCTCCCCCTCACCCCTCCCATAGCGGACTCCACACTGTAATCTGTGGCACAGATCCCACCCCCTGTGTAGGTTACAGTCCCTACCTGACAAAGCTGGACCAGGTAACTAAAATTGCAAACTGCCATTTTTGAATCACTGGTGTTGATTTGAGCTGAGTTTTTGTTTTGCTTTGTTTGGTTTTTGGTCTCTGACACAGGGTCTCACTGTGCAGTTCAGGCTGGCCTTAAACTCACTTTGTAGCCCAGGCTGGCCTGCAACTTGCTCCCACCCTCCTGCCTCGGCCTCCGGAGTGCTGGGATGAGAGACAAGGGCCAGCATACATGGCTTTCAGCTCATTTTTCTGCCACAAACTCTGCAAAAGCTATAACACCATCTCCAGGACTCACAGCTTACAATATGCCAGCTTCTCTCAGCCGCCATAGACAAATCAAAGCTTGCTGCTTCTCCTGGACGTGCTCGCTTTCTTACTCATGCTGTCTACAAAAAGTCTGCTGTCCTGTTTGCCACCACCTTCCTCCCAGAAACAGCTGCTGCCCAGACACCAGCTGCAGACACAAAACAGCAAAAGCTCGCCTCCTTCTCTTGCAGGAAAACTCTCACCAAACCAAACCCAAAGGAAGACCCTTTGCACCCAAGGAGAGAAGAGGGCGCCATGTAAGCTTTACACCAGCAGACTGTTGGATCTTCACAGCAGCTACGGGATAATTCCTCAACGGCAACAGGGCTGAGTTAGGGAGAGTCAGTTTACATGCAATTTAGAAGTGGGAGGTTTAAAACAAGTGACAAAGCGTTACATAGCTACTTTGGTGCATTGAGGCCTATATTGGCAGGCAGGCTGGTCTGGAAACAAAGCAATTGTTCATCATGTTACAGAGTCACTGGGGCACTGGGGATCAGCCCTTACAGAGTGAGCACAGGGAAGTCATTACCATGACATGGAGCATTCCGGGGAGGGCCCTTGGGTTAGTCCAGGGCGCCTTAAGGTACACAAATTACTCTGACTCAGCGCTCATCAGAGGTGCGCAGCTGGGCTTGGACACCGTCAAGGTCAGTTGAATTCAGCAGAAACAGGAGGACACAGAAAAGCGGTCAGAGATTTCTAATTGATCATGAAATATCTATAAGTTTGATGTCTTATAAATGTGTTTCTACATGATAATTGTGGCCGAACACATCCTCTTCTAATTTTGCAAAGGAAGGAGTGACTGGCTGGTGACCGCAGAACACAGGCAGCAGTCTGTGTACAATCCAGAGCAGGAGAAGCTCAGTGGGGTGCACAGGGCCCCAGGATTCCCCAGGACAGGGAGCAGTGCAATTTAGGTCCTGACACTGTGGAATGTGCTGAGCAGCCTTTTCCCTGAGACAGCCTGCAGCTTGTCAGTGTGAGTGGACAGGAAGAGGGGCAGCATGTGGAGCAGCACCCCAGTGGGCACCCCGTTGTACTGCAAATGGACATCGTGTGAACTTCTCCGATCTTATTCTCGGGGAATACGTGATGGGGTTGCGGGAGATGGATTTTCTCAGAACGAGAACAAGAACAGTTATTGGGCAGCCTCGGAGGGAGATGATCTGACTTATCGGAAAGTAAGTCTCCACACGGGGGTCCACGTGCTTTGGGGAGTGGGATCTGGGAAGAATTTTCCATGAGTTTCACACCAGCAGTGAAAGAAGTGGTGGGATTTTCACAGCGTATTCCTGGGTGCTGGGTCCCCATCCTCTCCCCCCCATGGCCAGATGAGCGTTTTACAGGCTGGGACTTTAGGGATGCGATTTGCATCATTGTTTGCGGCAATGTGCACTCTGTGGAGGCTTTGAAGGAAGCACTCATTGTGCTCAGAAATGAAAACCACCCAAATGAGGCCTCTGTGTTTACAAACGCCTGTGTAACTCCACTGGGGCTGCCAAATAGCCCACAGTACTGGGTTCTGTCACTTTTCTGTTGCCAGCAGCTTTGTATGTGAGAAACCGTTTTCTACAAATTCATCCATAAGTTAGATTTTGCAGTTTTTCAGATAGGGAAGAAATGGTTTCTTTATTCTACTTTTTTCTAAAATTTTATTGTAAGGAGTACAAAACCAAACAAAATAAAACAAAAAAAAGCCAATCAAAAGAATGAAAGTTATACAAAACTTCCAAGCAGGATAATAGGGAATGAACAATAGTTACCATAATCCCTTTTTTACCTTCAAATTTGCTGCCCATACCATCAGACATACTAAAATCCAGTAAAATAGAACCATAACACCAATCAAAACAGAACATTGAGGAAAACAAAACAATAAAATGGAACAAATAAAAACAGGGAGAATATTGAATATTGAATTTCAAGAACAAGACAAAAAGAAATCCCCCATGGTTGCTATATTGGATATCGTTATCCTCTAAATAGACCCTGACTACGGGCTTTAGGCCTGCAAAGTCAGTCAAAGAATACGAGAATTAAGTTGCTTTTGTACCTCAGTTGCTCTCAGCTCGGCCTGTGTTCCTCCAAGTCAGCCAGTAGCTTTTGGATGGAGGCTGAGGGCGGCTCTCCCTGTTCCCCAGCCTGCGCATCCTCTGGCTCACGGGGAGCAGGGATTGGGGTCTTGTTTCTCTTCCTGGGCACTGCATGGCTACTGCTGCTGCTGACTCCTTGTTTCTAATTTCATTTCATTTCTTATATGAAAGTTTAGGCACTTTTATCTAAGGAAATTTTGTAGTTCTCTTTATTTTTAGTGAACTTTTAATATTATCTTTCTTTCTCTTATTCCTGAATTTCTCATGTTCATTCACAAAGTAAGCCACGTTAGCAACCGAGTAGCACCAGGGTGTCCAGTGTGGGCCCCCAGCGTGGGGTTCCGGCATGCCCTCACAAGCTCTTGGATTAAAGTTTGATCTCAGTACTGTTTCTCTCTCATGACACATTACACAATTTTTAGTTCATTATGTTTCATATTTACCCAAGAAAATGCTAACCCAAAGGAACTAAAGAGCACAGCCACCAATATTAATTGTCCCACTGGTGACCAGTGTGTGTACATTTGTAGCAGAATGTCAGGAACACGGAAAACACGCTCTGTACACACCCACTCACAGATACTTGGGAAGTCTTGCCAATGTGCCTGGCAACTTCTTACTGTTGGACCTTCAGTAAGAGGGGCCCAGGGTGTGACATGGCCAGCAGACAGTGAGATGTTCTGTGCTCTTAGCGTGAAATCTCAGATTGCTGTGCTTTATTACTGTATTACCCAGCTGCCTGCCTCAGTTTCCTCATTTTGTAGCCACATTAAGAGCTGGCAGAGGCATCAAAAAGATGTATTTTTTCAAGCAGAGCTTTTGCATGCTTTGCCATGATGTCAAGGAAGTGATATTGCAAACAAAAGACCATTGTAAAGTAAAGGCCAGAGACAGAAAATTCTCCTGCTAAATTAGCTGACTCAATAACCTGGCTCATCTCTTCCACAAAGGATTCATCACCCTCAGCAGACAGCAGATGGGGAGACTGGAGGTTTGCCTTGATGTCCTCCACGGATACATGCAAAGTCTTGGCCACCTTTTCTAGTGACGCATCATCCAGCCTGAAGTCAGACCTGTACTGGACTAAGCTGTCTTCCACCCTCTCTATGTCTTTGTCACTGATGTGACCCGTGAAGGGCTTGGTGGCTACAGCTCCAAACTTCAGAGCCTGCATAAACATCATCTGCTTCAGGGCATCTGTCTTCCGATCGATGGCAGCTTCGGTGACACTGGGCAGGCACTGCATGAGGACATGGCGCTTCTGAGCAGGCACGTCCATCACAAGGGTGCTCCTCAGCTCAGGGAAGTCATATTCACGCAGATGAAGGCTGGAAATTAAGAATATTTTACTGGCTGTCACTTGTGCCTCCCACAATTTTTTCTCACAGTCACGGGATATCTCTCGGAGGATGTTGTCCTTATTAAAGTTTGTAGGCTTAGCGATTTCCTCACTGGCTAACTCAGTATCAATTTTTGTCCTAACAAAATAGAAGTTCTTCTTCATTTTTGCAATCGGTTTGGCCAACTGTGCATCATTGTCTTTGAAGTGGGCAGAAGAAACGATCAGGAAAAAGTCATATTCAGCGAACTTGACTTTGTGCAGGTAAGTTTCTGGAGGGCAGTTGGTGGTCCGCAGGCCAGGCAGGTCCCATACTGACACACTGGGAAACCTTTAGTTGTTTGTATTCAGTTCTCTCCATGATGGTCTCGGTTGGCCCAGTTTGAGCAGAACCTTCCTCTTCATTCCCCATGTCCCGCAGGGCATTGATCAGACTGGACTTTCCTGTTCCTCTCTCCCCTGTCACTGCAATGCTCAGTGGAGCATTTTCGATGTCTTTCAAAGCAGAGCTAACTATAGAAACTGCTTTTGGAATGTCCCCCTTCTCCAGAAAGTACTGAATCAACACCCTGGCTTCCTCTGAGAGGACTTTGCTTTCCTGCTTGAAATTTTTAAAATACTCGCTGAAGCTGGAGGCTAAGGTCTTGCTCTCTGTGCTGGAGTCTGCGGAAAACAGTTGACCCATGGCTGTGAGCAGTCCAGGACTCTAGAAAAAGGGTTGTGTACTCTAGACACAGTGGGAAGGTCAAGGTGGGCACAGCGGGAAGACCACAGCTTTCCTGTCAGGATGCGGCAGCACCTCAGTCCAGGTTCCACACTGTGGCTGGGAAGGGCTTCCTCGAGGTGTGACCAGGACACCTGGCTTGGGTGCAGTCACCCCTTCTGCAGACTCTTTCTTTGTCTTGGAGTTCCCTGCACCTTAAAGAGTTTCCTCATGAATTTAATATCTGATTTTCCGTTCAAGCACTCATGGCCTTTTACGTTTTGTTCAGTTTGCTTTAGTTATTTCTGTTTTCAGGAAATTAACTTGTTACTATGGCAGCCCATCTACAAAGGCAGCAGTAGACCTGGCATCAAACCACTACACAACAGTATCTGGTTTCAAGACTACAAAGCTATCGTCATCAAGACAGTGCAAAGCTCATAGAGAACAGGCAGACAGAGCAAGGGGCCACAGTCAAATCCAGACCGAGAGCCCCATAAACGTACTCCCCTGATCTTAGTCTAATCGTCGCAGCAATACAATGAAGCAAGGATGTTCCTTCAGAAAAAGTTCTGATGGATCAGATAGCCTTGCATGCACTGTCACAAAATTAAGGTGCGTTACAGACTTGAGTGTAACAAACAAACAAACAAACAAAGAGAAATCCAGTGACCTGAAGAATGGAGATGATTTTTAGATATACCATAAAGTCCATTCATGAAAGATATCATTGGTAATGTGGACTGCCTTAAAATAAAAAATTATGGAATATAGTATCAAGAGAATCAAGGGACAAATCCACAGACTTGCGTAAAAATATTTGTGAGAGCGTTGGGAGTGGTAGCACGTGCCTGAAACCCTGGCGCTGGGTGGGGACGAGGGCGGTGGGGGAGGCTGAGGCCTAAAGAGCACAAGGACTGGAGCCGCCTGGGAAACTCAGCAAGGCCCTTTCTCAAAACAATTAAAAAGGACTGGAAAGCAGCGTGGTGCAAGGGCTCTGGGTTCCAGTCTCTAAATTACAAAAGCTCATCTGATGAAGAACTATGGTACAAAATGCACAAAGATCTTTGAAATGGAAAAATAAGAAAATGAACAACATGAATAAAAGCAGACTAAGGGTGATAGCAGAGACCTCATGAGAGAAGATGTCCACAGAGAAATGCAGCCCGGCCCTCACCGTGAGACACATGCAAAAGAGAACAGTGAGGAGAAACCGCAGCCCAGCAGTCAGAGTGGCCGCAGCCCGGACCCTGACAGCAGCAAATACTGGCCAGGATGTGGGGCCACGGGAGGGAACCCACCCTGGTGGGCATTCAGAATGGTACGTCCGCTTTGCAAGATGGCTTCGCAGTTTTGCAGAAAAGGAAATACAGTTAGCATTCAGACCTCTGATAGTTACACAAAGTAGTTAAAATTTTTGTTCACACAAAAACTTGTACACTGGTGTTTCTAGAAGCTTTTGCAGAAAGCTAAACCTTGAAATCAGCAAGGCTTTTCTACAGTTACTAAACGGCTTAATGGTTGGGGCCTGCTCTGGACATGGGACTGCTGTTTAGTTACAGAGAGGAAGGAGTCATTACACCACGAATGGACTTGAAGGAAGCTAAAGCACGAATGCATGTTGGAAAATGAAAGAAGCCATGAGACTCCACGCTGTGCGGAGCCAATTCCATGCGGTTCTGGACAAGGCAGAATAATGGAAAAGCCTGAAATCCCTTGGCTGTCAGGGACTGAGGGTGATGGAAAGGCACACACAGAGGCCTTTCGGGCAGCCTCGCTGTTCACAGTGATGCTATCGGAGTGGACACCAGGCATTGTTCGCTTCTCCAGCCCTTGACTGTACAACAGGAGCCAGCCCTGAATTCTTGATTTTAGGTGATTATGGCATGTCAGTGTGGCTCATCTGTTGTCACAAATGCACCACTCTGCAGGACGGTGTGGAAATGGGCAGACTAAGCACACGCAGAGAGAGCGGGTACACGGGTGTCCCTTCCCTTCTGTCTGAAACTGAAGCTGCTCTAAAGAATAAAATCATACAAAGAAACTAGAGAGCTGCTGGACTGTCCTCTTGGCACATTCACAGGCCAGCCGACCTGTGCTGGAGCCCACTCCTCTGCAGACCGCAGCTGGTGCAATAAAGGGGCCAATGGCCAGGCGGGGACAGAGGCCAGAAGGGGACTGATGAGGGCAGAGAGCATCAGGAGAAGACGAGGTGTGAGCAAAGACTGCAGGAGGGGCAGGAGAGGGTGCTCTGTGACGGGAGGCAGGCCAAGGAAGTCCCTCTATTACCTTTCCTGATGTCCACAGTGGAGTGTACCTGGTACCGGGGTCCCCCGTGCCTCCACCTCTTTGACAACAGAACGCTTATTCCCGAAGTCCAGGCACAAGAAAGAACCATAATAATGCATGATGTGGAAAACTCGTGCCCTGATCCTCACAGAGAGAAAGTGAGAAGTTTTATAGCAAGAAGCAAGAAGCCTCAAGTAAAGGTTAATATCCGGGCCAAAGACAGGTTGAAGCAATGCCCTCTGCCATAGTATGGGATCAGATCCCTCTCCAGAGGCCTCTGCAGTCAGCTACTGCAGCCCAGGAGGGAAGGAGGGAGCAAGGACACTTTCCTGAGGGGGTACATAAGATGTAGCTTGGTGTCTATGGCAATGGATGGAAGTATTTTCTATGCAAGGGGGCTGGGGAAGCCCTGGTGTCACCAGGTGGCTGAGTGACCTCTTAGCCACTAAGGGACATGGAGTTGGTGCCACGGGCCTCTCTTCTCATAAACAAGAGGGGAGACCTTGCCAGCTGGCAGCTACAGGGGCTTCTCCTTGCTATGTGTAAAGCATTTCCCTGGAGCTCCTTTGAGAAATAAAGTGTTTTGCAGTATACAGCCAGCAAGCCCAGGAGCTGGACAGCCACACGCAACCAAAGGGGAACCGACTAGGAGCACCTCAGCCACGACACATGTTGGCTCAGTGCTGGGCATTTCCAGGGGATGTCAGTGGGGAGGACACATGGGAGGGCACGGGCGTGTGTGCAGAGACTGGTCCTGAAGAACTGAGCAGACAGGGAGAGTGGGGGTCCAGTGCCAGGAACTGGAGGAAACAGATGTGGACATCCAATTCTGCCCCTGTGCGAATGTCAGCCACACAACACCCATGCTGCTGTGCTCTCTCCCACATCATTTCACAGTGCTTATGACTACTTCCTTCTCAACAGTCAACTTGTGGCAGCTGGGCAGAGCACTTCCCAAGGTGCCTGTCCCCTCGTCCTAGAGCCATTCAGATGCACTCACGGAGTGTGAGGTGGAGAGAGACTGGGGAGAGGGGGAGGAGGATTTATTAAGGGCCTTGAGTGAATATGCATACATAAATCCTCCTGGCGTCCTGGTGGCTATGCAAGACCATTCTAAGGGTCCTCCCAGTCACATGAAGGCTCAAGGACTCTGACAGGTTGTGTCCTAACTGTGATCTAATCCTTAGCAAACCAAGGTCAGGGCTGGGATCCAAGGGAAAGTCCCCTCCAAGTGCAGAGCTCTTTAGCAAGAGCCAAAGGCCAAAGCCAGCATTTGGTGGGGAGAGGTCCATCCAGGGACTGCAGTAGATCACATGGGCCCTCAGCCAGCACCTCTGGTTTGATGAGAGCCCTGTGCTCTGATTGAGTGTCTAGGTGTGAGTCGGGGATGTGTGCTGCCAGAGGTTCTCGGGGCTGGCCCTGCCACTGTCTTTCACAGGGTCCTTCAGCAGTGCAAGGGAAAAGCCTGTCTGTGACCGCTGCCTGAAAGTATCCGAATGCTTGCACTGTCTGTGTGGTTTATAGCTGTCCACGCACCACCCCTCCTCAGCTTGCGTACCCCTTACAGCCCAAACTGAACAAACAGTTTTTCCCCCCTCACAGCCACTGAGCTACCTATTCTTAGGTCTCCAGTAATTCCAAAATATTTTCTCACTCACCAGGTCCTTGCAGAAAACAGGTTTCTGGTGTCAGAGTTGAGCTCCTAAAGTTTAGCCAGAAGAGCCGAATGTACTGTGTGGGGAAAGGAAATACCTTCTGTCCACGCCTGTCCTCCTTGGGTAGGGCAGGGCAGGGCAGGGCAGGACGGGGTTCAGGTGGCCAGCATGGAGGCAAAGTGTGCTGACAGTCAGCACCTTGAGAGAGGAGCTGAGAACTTAAATGGGTTCTGGCTCCGCCCTCCTCAGACTGGGATCTGGGCAACCCTGGGCATGGGAGGAGCTCAAAGTGGAGGGCACTGTGATTCCAGGAACAGGGAAGTGAAACTGGGCTCTGGATTGTTCTTCCTAGAAACAGCCATTTCTAGGTAGTTAAACTGAGGAGCACCGTGGCCACTTACTGTGCTGTTGGGGTGACAGTGAGAGAAGTGCACTATTCCCCAGGGCATGGTGTGCTGGGGACAGAAAAATCAGCCTCAGAGCTCTCAGCTGAGGCAGAATCCAAACTACTGTGTGCAGACATGAGCTAACTCCTGGTCTGATGGCCCTCACACCTTCCTGTGCAGTGTCACAGATCAGACTCTATGGCAGTGAGGCCACTTCAATAGCACCTGTGATCTGTCACCTGATCCCAGGCACAGAATTTCTGAAAGCCTTGCAATTTCTATGATGAAGGATGTCTGTCTTCTTTTTTTTTTTTTTTTTGTAAGCATTGGGATTTTTTTAGCAATTCTTGAGACTCTAGGGAATAAGACAAAACAATTAAAGGATTCGAATTCAACCGTTTCCTAGACTAACTCACTGAAGTGTGGGAACTGCTGTCCTTCCCACTGTGGTGTGGGTGTAAAGGGCTCACTCAGGGCAGGGTCTGGGGAAACACAGGACTGCACAGCCTCTCCCAGGGGAGCAGCCCACACCCTCCCGGGATAGGGTGCCATCCTCAACCTGACAGCTCCAAGGAGACTTGGTGTCCCAGAAGTCGAAGTTTTTAAATCTTGATTTCCTTCTCTGCTTTCTAGCTCGCTTTCCCTTCTTCTGTCCCCCCTTCTGGGGACACCACCGAGTGACTGTAATTGTGTACACATGTGGGGCAGGGCTGGTTGGAGGTTATAAAAGCAACTGCCTGACTCAGAGGAGCTTTTTAAATGAGGATGGAATGGCGAGGTGACTTGACTGAGACAAAATACTTGACACCAAAAGCTATGGCAGGAAAGGGTTACTTAGGCCACCATCTGTAAAGTCCGTAATTGGAAGGCTCCAAGGTGGGCTGTGGCCTGGCAGAGGGGCAGGCGGAGGAGAAGCAGTTCCTTTTGGGGTGATAGTAGCAAAACAAGCAAGTGGCAGCACGAAGAGACAGCCCTCTTTCCCTCCCGTGTGCCTCTAATCCCACCCAGAGCTATGCTAACCCAGCAGTGGTTTAGGAGTCACGTGCCCCAGTCCCAGCATCACACTCTGGAGATCCAGCCATCCGCAAAGGCCCACCTATGACTGCATGATGCTTTGGGGGAACTCCTGCATACAAGCCTTACCATTCTGCCCTTGAGCCCCCAAAGATTCATGTACATCCCTTTAGGCAGAAGACATTTATTTCGTATCCAAGAGCTGCCAAAAATCCTAACAGTTGCTGAAAAGAACCAGTCACAAGTCTCCTGAGGTTTAAGGTGAACTCTTAGCTCTGAGCCCCTTACAAATGAAAAGAAGGTTAAACACGTCCAACTTTAATGGCACAAGATAGACATTTTCATTCCAAAAGTTACAAACAGTGCAATAGCTAGGAATGGGAACAAAGCAAGGCCAAAACCCAGCAGAAAAATAGTAAGTCCTGTTTTTCCACGTGCAGTATCAGAGGCAACCTTTGGCAAGATGTGGACGTGAAGGGTTGGGTGATGCGGCCCCAACAGCACTGCTGTGGATGCACCTCCAGGGCTTTCCTCTGGGCTTGGCTCTGTTCCCTGCTGCAGTGTTCCTCAGATGATCAGTGTTCCTGGCTTCCCCAGACTTCTGGAGTCTCCACTGCACTTTCGTCCTCACACTCACACTCAGGGGCACAGTGCCTGCTCGCCCAGCCCCTCTTCAGACATCTGCATGGAAGCCTTCCTGATCCCACAATTCTTACATCCTACATGCACCTAAAACTGGAAGCCCCTTTTCTCATCCTCATCACGGCCTGACATGGGAACAGTATTGGAATTCTGCTAAGTTGATTCCAATCTACTGCCTCCAGTGCAACCCAGGGCGAGAATAAACACACTCAGACATATTTACACATACGGGCAGACAAGGGGTCCAGAGTCTGGTCCGGATCGAGGTTCACGGAACAAAGGCCTTGACCCAGGGACCAACCTAGATGTTGTTAACTGGTGAAGAAGGGAGTGGCTCGAGGATGAGTGACCGAGAATGGTGGGAATTGAATGAGTTTGTGAGCTGGGCTGGGCAGGACGCCAGAACGTACCTCTGCAGTAGGCAGAGAGAAGGGTATACAGAAAGACCAGTCTGCATAACACAGTTGGGGTAGCAGTTAATGTTCAGGGGGCAGTACCTCAGTTCTGATGTGTAAACTTTTGTGCCCTGGGAAGTCATAGCCTCTTATCTAGAGGCTTGAACCCAGCCAACAGCCCTGGAATAGTGGCTCTGCATCCCACTGGGCTCAACCATTTAGATAAACACTGGGTTGGCTTCAAAGATTCCACATCAGTCCTTCAGCCAGCCCTGTCTACATTGCTTAGAGCCAACTGAAGGGAAAGGAAATGGCCTAGCCAGCTCTGTACCTATCAGTACATGGAGAGAGAGCAGGTTCAGCCAGGGTGGAGGGAATCAATCTTTATTCAAGGAGAGCCCTCCAGGTGGTCCTCTTCATAAAACCACCACCATGGGCTGATCCAATGTCTGTCCCGAGCTAGAGCGGCAGCCAGGCTTCTTTCTCTGTTGGGTGTCAGGGTCGAGTGTCTGGATTGCGGAGCACTCTGCACCCAGCCTCTAGGATAAAACTCTCCAGGTGCCAGCATTCTGGGCATGGTCTTTGGGTGCTCTCTACTCTGAGCACCTGCTTCCACCTTGATAACCTCAAGGCTGTCAAGGCTGGAATCCTGCTGTCTCCTGTGCTGGCCTCAGACAGTCTTTTATGGTTTCCTATTCAACCTCAGCAACCTTCTCCTCTGCTCTAGCTAGGTTTACTGGTGCTTTTATTGTGAACAAACTTAGAACTTTTAAAATCATTCTGCTGGCTCTTTTCCTGGATCCCCAAGATAGATTTGGCTAAAGCTTCCTCTGGTAGATCCCACTGCCTTGTCACCGAGGCGCGCTAACTGGCTTTCTAAAGAGTGTTATTTTGGGGGTTCAAAATTCTGCTCTCTGGGTTGTTGGAAGTCTTACATGTGGCCTCATAGTGGAAAGGATACATTTTATAAGTTTAAGAACAAAGCAACTATCATCATAAAAATTGATAGTTATACCTTAGCGTGGGAAAGCACCTGGTGTTTGCCCTCCACGGTGCTCAGCAGGGTTAATCTGCGAGCCAGGTGCCACACAACGTCCACTTCTGTCTCATCTCGCTTCTGTCATGAGTCTGCTGCTGCCCCTGCTGTGTTTTTGTTCGCTTCACAATCACTAAAGAAAACCTGCTTTGCAGTTTCCTGTTCTGTGCTGATTTTGATTATTTGGTCCTCAAAGTATCATTTAATGTGGGCTGGTGCTCTCAGTACTTCCTGAGCCCTTTTTGGTAGATTTCTGCGGTTTAAGCAAGAAAGTTTCTTACTGCTGTGTTTGGATCGCCACTGCGAGGTACACAGTACCTGTATGTGGCTTAGCAGTCAGAGGTTCATTGCCTAACTTCGTTATTTTTCTTTCTTTCTTCTTTTACTGCAGAGAGAATTGGATACAAAGTCTTTGCACTGAACCACATCATTCCTGGCATTATATATATATATATATATATATATATATATATATACACACACACACACACACATTCTTTGACAGGTTCTGCTAAATGTACTAATTTGTCCAGGTAGATGTCAATCTTTCTATTCTCCTGCCTCAGCCTCACAGAGTGATTGGACTCCATGTGCGTGCCAAGATGTCTGGCTGCCCCAATTTTACTGAAGTTTAATTACCGTATAAAAACTTACAATTTCGTCAACTTGGCTATGGTTGATTACTTCTGTAACCTCTGAAAAATGCTGGTGTTCTCACTGTAGCGCTCTTCTGCATTGATAGGGGAAGCTCACGCCAAAGTAAGTTCTCATCTATGGTTTGTTCTCATCTATGGTGTAATTCTTTTGTTTTTTTTTTTTTTTTTTTGGTACCAGGGATTGAACTCATGACCTTGCACTTGCCAGGCAGGTGCGTATGCTGCTGAGCTCAATTCCAGGCTCTGGTGTAGGTTTTATAGGAAAGGCAAGCTCAGTAGTTCCACAGCAGTAGACTGCTGCGTCTCTCCCTGGTATGCCAGTCTTCAAAATACCGAGTGTGTTCCTTAGCAAGCGTCAGAGTTGACCAAGCATTTGTTTTCATCGCTCTGAGGCCGTCTTTGTCCCCATCTCTATCTGGGACCTCTCTTTCCTCAGGACAGCTGCGTTGCACTTCTAAGTTGTTTTCATCCTTTATCTACAAGGAGATGCAGTCAAATCCATTGTCCCTTAATGATCCCAATGTATAGATTTGGAGCAGAATATCAGGAATAATAAAGACATGCTGTGTACACATTTACTCAAAGCCCTGTTTTAGTCTTATTGTGTGTCAGCAAGTTTTTACAGTTAAATCATCGTAGAGAGGAGCCCTGAGTGTGAAGGAACCAGAACCCAGCGAATGTCTGGCTCTTTTAGCATAAAATGCCAGTTTGCTAGACTTAATTTTCTAAAGAAAGATCGCATGTGTGTGTATTGCAGGCCGGCCTGGCTGCCTCCGAGAGCCCTAAGCCGGCTTCCCAGGGCTCAGGCCCACTTCAGCAGCAGGACGGAAGAGGCCGCTGGCTGCCTCAGTTTCCTTATTCTTGGTAGCCTTCCACAGAGCCAGCAGAGGCACCAAAAAGATCTTCTTTATTAAGGAGAACGTTCGCATCATTTGCCACAGTGTCAAGGAAATAATTATGTATATAAAAGGCCTTTGTGAAGTACAGGCCGGTGGCGATGGGGCCTCCGGTGACTGAAAGAACCGTCTGAACAATCTGCATCATCTTCTCTGAGAAGGACTCATTGCTCTCGGCTGACACCAAGCTGGGATACTGAAGGTTTGCCTTGAGGTCCTCCACGGACACGTGCAAATCCTGGGGCATCTTTTCTAGGGATTCGTCATCCAGCCCAAAGTGGGACCTGTACAGGCCCAGGGTGTCCTCCAGCTTCTTTCTTTCACTGTCACTGAAGAGGCCCACGAGAGGGACAGTGGCTGTTGCTCCGACCTTCAGGGCCTCCAGCCAGATCTTCTGCTTCAGGGAATCTGTCTTCTGATTAATGGCAGGTTCCGTAAGGCTGGGCAGGCTCATCCTGAAGACATGACGCTTGTGAGCTGGCAGGTCCCTCAGAAGGGTCTTCTCCATCTCAGGGAAGTCATAGTCACCCACATCAAAGCTGGAAATTAAGAAGATCTGAGCCGCAGACACTCCAACAGCCTTCAATTGGGTCACAATATCATTTCGCAACTTTTCCAGGAGTTTCTCCTTATTGAAGTTTCGTGGTTTTGCTCTTTCCTCATTGCTTAAATCAATATCAATTTTTGTTCGAACAAAATAGAATTTCTTCTTCATT